TTCATAATAGAAATCGATCTGAAATAACAATTAAAATCTTTTTGGACGCAACAAGTATGAAAATTCATGTCATTTTTTAAAGAACATTTCACATATGTATGTATATGCATATTTTTAAATATCATATGAATCTTCATAGTTTATGTATTCAAAAAAGTTTTAACTGTTATTTCAAACTATTTGCAACTATGATTCGTCTAATAGAACTTAAAATGAAAAAAAAAGAAACCAAATTGTAATAGAAATCATACAGATGCACTCAGTAATGTATATATAATGTTAATAAGAATCAAGAACAATTGAACGTCAGATTTTAAAAGTATTAGATGCATATCATTCGATGAAGATAAACGTATATTGTTTTAAACATGTGATGTACTAATATTAATTTCTTTTTTATTTTTTCATTGTACACTTTGACTGTCATGAAATTGAATTCATCATATAAACCTATGTAAAAAAAAACGATGAAATATCAGATTAAAATCTATTATAATGGCATTATTTTAATCTGATTTTAATAAGCTTTTTCAGATTTGCAAACAGATTTCATTTGATTTTGAATCTATTCTAATCGATTAAGTAAACTGTAATCAACTCACGGCGATTTGAATAATCTACTATAGTTGATTCAATTTCAATAATCGATTAAAAAAGATTAAAACCAAATAAAAATAGTGCCATTATAATAGATTATTAATCCAAAAAGAATCGATTTTAATCTGATTTTGAGCCGTTTTTTTTTACATGGAAAAGGTGACTAAGAAGTCTTGACTCGATTTGAATATTACATTTTTCTATAAAAAAAAAACATGTGACTGCAAATTTATCTCTAGAATGGAAAGACGAAGCAAAACACGCTCTACCAAATGACTGTTCATTGAGTCCGTTTCCTCATGTAGTCAGAAAGTAAAAAGCTTAGAAATGTACGTCACAAAAAACTAAAAATTAACAACAAGCCTTCCAGAATAAAAAGAATGATAATACTTGCCTACATACAACTTGAGTACTCAGTTCACTGGCAAAACCACTTTGAAGTCATAATATAATTAATTTTATATATCGAATACGTTTACTTTCAAGGGGAGTCACTTCGTAGATGTATTCTTTCTTTGAAGAAATCAAAGTCGACATGAATAGTACCCAATATTGTTGAACAATTAATCTTCCGAAAAACTAGGTTCATTATGTCATGATGTATCAGGAAGAACAAACAAGCTGAATATTACAAAGAAAAACGGTAAACGATAGATCAATATGTATTGCATTCAAAACTGTTAGAATAGGGCAATTCAAAAAAGTCATGAAAAGATTAACACATTTTAAAAAAACGATGAGAAAGTTAAAAGAATAATTCATAGGTAATATTGGCTACTTTGCAAATAAAGAATGCATCTACGAAGTTGTTCCTTTAGATGAAACGTATTTGACATCTAAAATTAATTATATTGTGATTTAAAAGTAGTTTTGCAAGTGAACTCAGTGATGAAGTTGTATGTAGCTGATTAATTTCATTCTTTTTTTATTTTGGGCGAATTGTAGTTAATTTTAATTTTTTATGAAGTACATTTCTAAGATTTACCTTTCTAATTATATGAGGTAACGGTCTCAATCAAATGTCATTTTGTAAAGCAT